AAGACTTTGGGGAAACTGGGAATCTGTGGCCTTCCTCCTGCTTGTAAAATCACAGACTGGCTATTCATCTCTTTTTTGCACTAAATCTGGTGAGATTTCATTGTTTCCATGAATATCAAGCATTGCCTTATGGAGCAGCCTGGGAGCTGCCTGCCTGCTGTGTCAGGGAGCTCTTGCAGTTTATTCTCCTTGGTGACTCTGCACAAAACTAATTCTGTTAGTCTGCTTTCCTTTTTTTTTTTTTTTTTTTTTGTAATTTTTTTTTAATACCCCTTCTTTAAACAGCAGTCCACTGCAAAGATAGAGATCTATTAAGCCTCTTGGTCTGCTTTTTTCTTTTTCCTTTGAAAAAGTGACAAAAGAAAAAAAAAAAAAAAAGAGAATAGAACTGGTAATTGTTTTGCACAGGTCAGTTTTGTTTTACAATATTTTACAAAGAGTTGCATTAGTATAAGGTGTGTTACCTCACCTAAGGTGAAAGAGACATGGAATTGGGAGTTTGAAATTGATTTTAATATAGCCATTGCTGGCATGCTGCCACTAATGCCTGCACAGCTCAGTGAGGAGACCACAGTGTGCCTCATAATTGGAGGTCAGACTGCACCAGAGCTGGCCTCCCTTGGTCAGTGTAATTAAGTGAGCAGAAGGGTTTGCACAGGGCCTCTGAAGCTGTGTTTTCCTCAGTGCCATTCACATGGGCAGCTGGGAAGAAGAATCCCTTGGATCCACAATGTGCGGATGAGTAGGTAGCCTAAAAGAGAGAAGGTTCAAATTCCTTGGCACTGCAGCCTGTCTGGCAGGACTGAAAATGTGATTTCAAAAGAGCTGTTTGACCAGGGAGATAGCTGTGTCAGCCCCACCATTCCAGCACACAGGGAGCACGTGCAGGGATGGAATCAGCTAGGACTGAAGCATATCCCATGCCTGTTCTGAGCAGCCTTTTCTTGTGGATTCTTTCTTCGAGTCACTTTCTCCTCTGTGATTCATCATTTTGTCTTTGGATTTTGTACTGGAGCCAGATCACAGGCAATCCAGAATGTTGAGCTGTGCCCAGCTATTCATGTAGTTCCAGTTGCTGTTGCTTAAAAAAATTACTTAAATGCACAAACTCTGGCTTTTACCATTGGTTATTTTCCTTCTGTGGTTGTGGTCTTCCTACTTAAGGAGCATCCTTTGTTTCTTCTGTTGGTTTCCATCAAGATCTGGTAGAAGCCTTTCTTTTCCTGATCGTTAATTTCTCCACAGCTCTGATTTACATTTCACTTCACTGTTCAGTTTCATCTCATCCCATCTTCCCTATGCATCTTTAAAAGATTCAAATGCATATTAAATCTGAAGGCATTGCTCATTCATCTCATTTTTGAACTGCTGTTACAAACACATAATTTGCCATTATCTATCAAACTAGAATCGTCATTATTTCCTGTTGTGTTCTTTGTTACTACTTCTGACACGAACCCAAATTAGTAATAATGACTCCAAACCACTGGTCACCCAGCTGCCTCCTACTTGAAAAAGCAAGAATCTCCAGATCATACAGAAGAAACCCACAGTAAGGTCTGTACACTGTATTAATTTAATTTCTTCTCATTTATCACACCTTTTAATAAAACCACTTTTTATCCTTGACATCTGGGCCACAACTATTTACTCGAGTTCAGGGAAATATTTACTTGCCAGGGAATTAAATGGGTTAAGCCAGTGGGAATATTTCCCAGATAATTCAAATATCAGCCCTAAGCTAGGAAGGCAAAAGCCTCTTGAGACTCTGTTTTCTCACCTCCTGTCCATTTAATTTGTTATTCCCATGCTTTCACGTACTTGATGGCTGCTTGACAATTTTATTGTATGTTGTACAGTCCCTCAGTGATCACACCTCCCTCTCCCTGGCTCCCTCTCCGTGGTCACACAGCTCACATCCAATACTCATCTCCACCACCAAGGGTTCTGTTGTCCCCTTGGTGTGGATGTGCAAGTCCCACTGCTGTCAGGAGGAATTACATGTGTGCATCAAGGAGGGGGAAATCCCTCGTGCGCTCTGCGCTCCTCGTTATCCTGGCACAGGCAGCTCTGTAGATGGCTCATCTATGAGCCTTTTATTCTCTTGGGTGTTGTGAGTACAGCAAGTTGCCTCCTAGGATCGGCAGTTTCGCTCTTGAGGTGTTTAGCAAGTTGATTTACTGTGCATGTGCACACTCCGAAGTGTCCTCATCCCGCCAACCCCACATCTCGCAGCATCCCTGCGTTAGACAGTGGTGTTTCTTATTTCCTTTTTGTGCCACAACACCAATTCCTAACCAGTCTCCCAGAAGACTCCAAGTGAAGCAAACCCTCCCAAATAACAGATGTTCAGGCCCAGCTCAGGCCTGCCATCTGAAAGTTTGGGAAAAATTCAGAAAGTACAAAAATGTAAGTGGAATATTTTAAATTTTCCTTAAAGATCCGAAGGAAGACATTTTATAAGCACTTCATGAGAGGTGCTGCTAAACAAGGAGTTAGTTCAAATAGTTACAATCGTTTAGAAGAACTGTAATTCCTTCCAAAATTAATTGGAGTATCAAGAGTTGAAGGAAAATGGTAGAGTGAAAGCAACCACACACATGAACCAGAGATTTCCACTGTCTGAACATGGATGTGGATTCTCCTCTGCTCCTTCTGGAACACCTCAGTTTGGGAGGCACCTGCTGTTTCACACCGGCCACTGTTACTGACAATACAACTGAGAATTCACCTCCCTTTGCAGCCTCATTCCTTGAGCACACAGTTTGTTACCACAGCTTAGAAAAGCGGGATGGCAAACTAGTTTGGGAAAAAAATCAATTTGCCATCAGATTAGAAATCAACTGTAAACATGTTGAAGAATTCTTTTTTTATTTTTTTTTTCACTACTGCTCTGCCTTTTCTTCGCAATCTGTTGTGGTGTCAGACTTATTTTGATAATACTTGTAGAACTTGTCATATTAACAAAGTTATCAAGCAGAGTGAGCACTTGCACAGCAACAGCTGTAGTCCAGCAAGAGTCAAAATAACTGGCCATAGGTATTTGAAAAAGAACATCCACACTGTAGTTTCCCAAATCCAAAATATCCTCAGAAGTCTCCAGACTTCTGGAGTTAAATAAAACTTGTAGTTTTATTTAAATAGAAACTGCCCTTAAACCTGGAACAATCTGTTCCAAACTTTGAAACTGAGGATAAAGATAAAGGAAAAAAAATAGATTTTTAAACACAAACATATATTAGGATTCATTTTTGCTGTGATAGTGTCACTCAACTATTTCTGCCTCTGTGGAACTGGTTCATAAAAAAGGATCCACATTAAATCCAATACAATGATGCCATTTATTTAATGTTATATAACAAACTCAGAAATACTTGTTTAAAAGCAAAACAAACCCCATAATCCACTAAGACTGTAAATTGGTGGGGTTGGAACAATCTTTTCATTATTCTTGTCCACAGAGCTCAATACAATGAGGCCTCAGTTCTTTGCTAATGTCTCTAGGTGTTAACACAATGCTATTAAATCTACTCAATAGCCAAAGATGCAGCCAGTGGATTTATGTGTCCCATTCCTTGGGAGACGTGCAAATCCAACAGAATGGTTTAATGGCCGGATTTTTCAGCTGCAATGTCTGATTTTGCACGTACATCAGATAATATGCACCTATTTATGCAAATTGCTGCCGGATTTATAAGCACAAAACACTCGTGCCTGGGAATTCCTATTTGTGGCCTTGAGCTGGAGAAGAAAAGGATGGGGTTTGGGTGCCAGGGTCCTGCTGTAGGAAAAGAGCAGGAGCCACACTCTGCTTTCAGTTTTCTGTGAAACTGACTGAAGTTTCACTTTCTGACCCTGTGTTGATCTGCCTTTATTTTTACACCAGAAATTTGCTAGTTTAGTGGAGTTAGCTTCCTCTGCTACTGATGTGGATGTGGATTAGGCCTGACAAGCCTATTTTCCTCTAAAAAAAGCAGGGCCAGGCTCAGGCTGGTTCACAGATACAGCTGAGGAGGCAATCCTGGCACTACCCATTTCTGTACCCTATGCTGAGTTTTTCATCTCTGGCTATGTCAGATTTTTCCTCCCCAGTATGTAATTTTTTGTAGATTTGCTGCTACTCCCCGATGCCACCTTTCTTTCCCTCACAGCCTGGGCTTTGCTCTCCTCACATGATACACTCATGAACCCCTGGACATGAATGCTGTGAATACTTATTTTTCCTCATGGAGTACGCTTGTTTTTCACCTGGGGACGTTAGTTTTTGCCCACTTAGCACATTTCCAGGGCTGTGTTAATTTTCCCCTGGACATGCTGCTTGTTCCCTTGTGGGCACATGGAAAGAGGGCTAGAGGAAACAACCTTAGGTTGAGACAGGGGAGATTGAGGTTATATATGGGAAAAACTTCCTGTTATGGTGGTCAGGCATTGGAATGGGTTGCCCAGGAGGTGGTGGAATCACCATCTCTGGAGGTGTTCAGGGCTGTCTGGATCTGGCGCTGGGGGGTGCTTTGGGGGTGACAGCGGCAGTGCTGGGTTAGACATGATGATCAGGGAATCACCGAACCCGAGCTGCAAGGGGCACAGATCTCCAAATCCAACCCTTCAGTGAACGCCGGGCATCAAACCACAGCCTTGGCATCATCGGCACCGTGCTCTGTGATGTGAACCCACGATCTCCCTGCAAGGCCGGCTGGTTGTTTGGGCTTCCTTCCTAGGAACACACCAGCATTTGGACGCGTAAGTTTCTTCTCCGGACAGACGAGGCTCCCGCGGATCGCGGAGCTCGTCAGGGCGCTGAGAGAGGAAGCGGCAGCGCCGCCGAACCTTTCCCCCTCCATCATCATCACCACCATCATCATCACCTTCATCCCCTCACTCCCCCCGCGGCGGGGCGGCGCCTGTCGCTTTAAGCGGCGCGTGCCCGCGCGCGCGGGGCGTGGCGTGGCGGCGGCGGCGCGCGGCGGGCGCTTCACCTGCAGCCCGGAGCGGCCGCGGGACCCGGCCGGCTCCGCTCCGCTCCTCGCTGTACCGCTCCGCTCCGATCCGCCCGCCGCGGACATGAGTGCCGGCGCGAGGCGGCGGCTGCTGCTGCTGCTCCTCCTGCCCGTCTGGGGCTCGGCGGCGGTAAGTAGAAACGGGCGCGGAGCCATCCCCGCCGCGGCTCCTCCGCGCCCGCCGCGGCAACTTCGGGCTCGTGGAGTGAGGGTGGTGGTGGTGGGCGCGCGAGGCTCCTGCCGCTGCCCCCGCCGCGCTGCGGTTCCTCGCCTCCTTTTTTAAAATCGAATCGCCGCTGTGCAGTTTTTAATTGGTTTTTTTTTTTGAGCCGCCGCTCAGGTGCCGCCGCGGTAGCGGCACAAGTACGCTCCGCGCTGCGCCTCGCCGGAGAAACTTCGGGGGCAGCGGCGCGTCCCGGCGCGGAGCCGCTCCGAGCCCCGCGGAGCCCCGCGGCCGCGCCGCGCTCCCCGCCGAGCCCCGCTCCGCCCGCGCCCGCTGCAGCCCCTAACTTTTATTTTTGCCATAAACCCAACCGAGATGGTCCGGATCGTGCTGGGGGATGATGCTCTGAAACTTTGGGATTTTTAGTGTTTTATTCCCACGGCGGCTGAAATTGAAGGATTTCTGTAGAACATCAACAAGCGCCTGAACGCGTGGCTGCAGTGCTACAGAGCGAGCCGGGCGGCTGCTGGCTTTCGGGCTGGGCTGGCTGCGGGAACAAGAGCCGCTTATTTTTCTGCCTCAATTCCCCGGTGCCAAGTAGAATCCGTGAGGATGTCCCGAGCCTCGTGGAGGCTGGTGGGTGCCCAGGAATAGCCCCGATGCGCTCTCGCCTAGCGAGCACCGCTCTAATAATGGGGCGATTTCAGATTCGAAGCCCGCTATCCTCGGCGAGACCCTTTGAAATGTTTCCCAATGGCAACATCTTGCCAGCCGCGGTCAGAGTCCAACAGAGCCGCCGCTTCCTTGCGCTTCCCGTGCAGTAGCTGGCATCCGTCTACCGAGCGTGATTTTAAGCCGAGTACATTGGCTTGTGTTCTGCTTACTAAGCTCATCCGAAAGGACCCTTCTCTCCTATTCCTTTCTGTGTCTGATGCAGCGCAGTGTGTGTGCGGAGCGTTTGGGGGTGCGGGGGGCTGCGGTTCTCCCCCGGGAGGCAGGTGCACGCCTGGAGTTGCACTTTGCGGGGAAGCGCCGCTCCCCGGGCTGCAGCCGGCGCTGCCGGCTCTGGAGGCGGCGGAGGTGCCGGCAGCATCGCTAAGCGATGCTCTGGCTGGCTCCGCCGACAGCCCGGGCGCGTTAGAAATCCCCTGCCACCAGCACTTGTTAGTGCGTAAATCACCTGGCACTCTCCACGCATAAATCACGGGCTTGTGTGCTGTCAGCGAGTTTCTCTGGAGCTGGGGTCTGGGACCTTCCCTGCCGGGGAATCCCAAGGAGCCTGGGCTGCTGTGACTGGACTGCCCCGTCCCTGTGGCGGGGGCTGGATCCTCTGCTCAGTCCAAAGTTGCAGCTGAGTGTTTGGTTGGCTGCTTCCCTTAGGGTGCTGGCACGGTTGTGCACGATTCTGTGCATTGTCATGTTTTTAATTGGGAATCCCTCCATTCCTTCCCACTGCCGGGGCAAGAGCAGAGCCTGGAGGGTCCCAGAGGCTGCAGCAGGCAGAGCCTGGGATGCTGCTGCAAGGGTGAAAGGGAAGGAAGGGTGTCATCACCTGGTCGCAGACTCCTGTGCTTCTCCCCCTTCCATGCTGGGGTCTGCCCAGTTTCTCAGTAGCAAACCTCGGTGGTTTGGATGTTGCAACATCAGGCCTTTGCGTGTCTCCAGAGCGAGCACAGCGCCTTGATGAATTGCTGCTCTTTGTTTCCTCCCCTCTTCTGACAGTGCCCAGTATTCCAGTCTTCCAACAAACAATGCTCTCTTGTAGTCAGGCAACTATTGCTGGCCCATTTTATTTTTTGCAGCTACAGTATGGATCCACTCCAACAGATAGGCACTCTAACACAAGCAACTTCTACTTGCACACTGCTTTACTGTTCAGGTTTGCTCATGCCTAAACACTTCATCACTGGGTGCAAAACGTTTTCCCAAATGACAAAAGTCATGGTGTGCATTTTCCTTGTTTTGTTTTTGCAGGCACACAATGGGGATCTTACAGTTAGACCCGCATGCAAGCCTGGCTTCTCAGAACAAGACTACACAGCATTCATCTCCCAGAATATCATGGAAGGGCAGAAGTTACTCAAAGGTAAGTGGAATAAAAAGCTTAATAGCTTCTGCAATGACTGTATTTTCAGGAGGTGAAAGGAGGCTTAAAGATGCTGGTTTTGATGGTGAAATTGTCTGCAGAATTATGTTTGTAGGAGGATGAAACACTAAGTGGTTTACCTGAGCACAGTTTTGAATACAGATGAATCATTCCAAGTCCGCTGCTGTCTGCTTCAGGTGGATTGTTTGTTGCACCATGCGAGGTCATCACTTCACTCTTGAGTCTCCCACTCCCACCCTGTCTGAAGGAACTCAGCATCTGATATTTTAGAAAGTATTTTTATGCATGAAATGCAAAGATCCCTAAATTATCTCTGCTTTGAAATGGATGATAAAGCAGACGTTGTTGTTGGAAATGTGGTAAACAAGCCTACAGACATTCTGTTCACAAATGTGGCATTCATTTTCATTACTGCCCCACTGACAACATGAAAACACAGGCAAAAAGAAACTACCAATTAGCTTTATAGTAATTGCAGGATTATAACCACTTTTGTGCTTGTAAACTCTAAGATGTCTCATAATCCAAATAACAGTAGATTATCCTGTGTATTGCTCTGTCTCCTTTTCAAGTTAAAAATAATTAAACTTTATATTTGCATGACACAGAGAAACACTTTATTCCAAGAGAATTTTTGAAGAGCAGAATCCCACCCTCCCCCAACAGTCCGGGAAGTTGGGGAGCACGTCAGGACTTGGTGCTCTACTGAAGGCTTTATAACTATTTTGCAGTGTTTTCCTGAGTACATTTTGCTCACATGCATGTCTCTGTGCCAGATAGCTGGGATTTCTGTCTTCCTCCAGACCAAACACCTGCTCTGTTACTTTGATTTTTCTCAGAAGAGAGGGAGAGTTGTCAGTATTCTCTCTGGTTTCAGCAGAATCCAGGACTGGACATTTTTGCTCTGCATGAGCTGGCAATCTCTTTTGTTTCTGTGCCCAGTTGTCTTAGTGTTGCTGCTCAGGAATTCTCTTGACTGGCCTGGCATTAATTAGTAGACCTTGGGGAGTTTATTTTTAGTTTGAAGGGTAACCAAAGAGGGAATTGAGATGGATAAGCTCAAGATTAGGCAGCCCTAAAGAGACCAAATACCAATAGTTCACACCCTTTGTAGTAATGTTTCCCAAACATGACGGCGGCTTTACAGGTCAGTCTGAAAACTGGGTAGATTTCATGCTCTTTTAGCTTTTCAAATTATTTGATAAAAAATGTTCTCTGAGTATTGTAGAAAGCCGTTCATAAATATATTTGCTCAGAAGAGTGGTTTTTTGCAGTTTAGTGCTTGATAAATTGTGCTGTGTTTATGGAGGTGGACAGCGAATGGAGCAAAAGGGTCTGCTCAAAGGCCTTGGATGGCTGTGACTTGCAAAACAGCACAGTGGCTGTCATTTCATTTCTGGGTTAACTAATAATTTTTAAATATGAAATTATATTTACACAGGCTGTCAAGTTGATTTGAATGAAAATATATTTCTATTTGATTTTATCCTTTAGGGACCAGTTGTAGTTTTACATTAGTCATGGCAACCCTGCCTCTGATTTAGGGCTGAACTCACCCTGGGGACGTTATGTATCTGTGCCCCACTTGTAAGATTCATGTCCTGATAGTGTTGTCACAGGTTCCATGATTTAAAAGCATTTTCTCAACAAAAGAAGGAAGAAAAAAAGTGCAAGTGCTGTGTTTGCTAATAAGTAAACTATCATCTTTGCACCTTTTAATCTACAGTCAAATACATGCTGTTGTTTATCATAGGAAGCAAATACATCTAATTAATTTATACAATAATGGGCAAGAAAATTCTTCTTCATGCTTGTGTTGTTCTTTATATATACTCTAGCATGTAAAATTGGTAGTTTTCCAGTTTAGGTTTAATTTTACTTCCTAGCACTTGATGTGTCTGAAGCATAAAATGTTTATCTCTTTCTTCCATCTGGGTGAAGTATTGTACAATAGTTCAGACCAAAAATGAGTTCAGATTGCTTACATTATCATGTTTGATAGATTGACATATGTACTATTTCACACCATCTTACCACGCAAAGCTCTGCTGCCAGCAGCTACCACCATCTTATTCATCAGCATTCAGTAATTCATCTTGCAGGCCAAATGGGACTGTTTGCCTGAAATAAAAAAAAAAAAAAAGGAAAGTAGGCAGAAATTCACCTGTCAGTGCTTTCCTGGAATCTGGGGGTTGGAAGAAGCGTGTCTGTAGCTTGGATGGCTCTCGGGGGATTTAATGGAGTGAACATGAGGTTTTTATGGACAAATGCTCACCTTGTCCTTAGGAAGGTGAGGTGGGCAGTCCTGGGACAGTTTATCCCTGAAGGTTTCTCCATCAGAAATCAGGGAGCATGCAGCCCTCAGCATGATGGTGAAATTTCTCCACACCACGGTGAAGTTTGGATGTTCGTGGTTTTGTGTGGCAATAAATAAACCTGTCATTTCCCTTTTAAGCTTTGCAAGATCCAGATCTCAAATGTATGCACTGTTATGAATGCATCAAAATGAAAGTGTTTATAGTATTCTAGGTTTGAATCAAGTTAAACAGATAATCACTGCTTATAATTGGTTTATTCCAATGGAAATAGCTTAGCCTTAATTTGACAACAAGAGCTTTTACAGAGTCATTGTTTTATTATAAGTATGCCGTAAGCTATTAGCTACTACTTTGTGGTTCATCTTATTTGCCTGAGTCAGCTCTCTAACATGCTCAAAACATACAGATTCTAGCAGGAGCTATTTGTTACACAGTAATTAACTTGTTTATGATAAATGGATGGGAGAAATGTCACGGCATTTTGTTTTATGTATAAATGAAAAGCATCTGCATTCTAAAAATTTCATGTTAATTAGACTTAAAATAGTTTTCCCCAGTAGTACCACAAATACCACATGCTGCACATCACTGCCAGCACTGTGGCCTGATGATGGGGTGGTAGCTGAGGTGATTTGTGGAGCCAGCGCCTTCCTCAGAAATGCCATCACTGCATCTCTTAATGAAAGCTACTGGAGTGTAATCTGTTATACTTTTTTGTCTTTGTTTTTGTTTGCAGGATAATAAACTTAGTCTTGATCACTGATGCATGATAATGTTTAAGATAGCTTCGTTAAGTATTTTCTTCTTTAGCCTAAGGGCAAGATCTCCATGTCTGCAGTATGGCAGAGGACGATTGTGGCACGGGGATCTTTTCCTCTTTGTTAATTATTCATGTTAACGTGGTGAGAACATTGGTCCTGAGGGGTGGGGAGCAGGGCCATGTAGGGCTGCACTGAAGCAGTTCAGCAGTGTCCCAGGGGATCTGATTCCTGATGTGAACTCAGTGTTTGGGAGTGATGAAGACCAGTGGCCTCTTGGGGAAGGAAGGAGAGAAGGAGTAGGATGCTGAAAGTGGTGTGCAGTATGATACTCTTGCTGTTGGCTTTATGCCCTTTTGGATTTTTTGTAGTGTCTTTTAAGATTATGATTAATAAAAAATATGCTTTTCGGAATTAGAAGTTGAGGTTTAATTGGCACGCCGTGAGGCTGTGGTGACTGGGAGTGGGTGGGATGACATCAGGATGTTGGATGCATCATTTCTGCAGTGTGGCCCCACCAGGGCTCCAGCACCTCTCAAACACACCTAAACAAAACAACTCACAGCAGACAACACGAGCAAATGAGAGGTACAGCCACGTTTTTGTGTTTTCTGTGCATCCCTTTGTGTGCAGTGATTCATGTTTCCTTGCCCAGCCCGAGCAGTGCCTGTGCTGATGGAGCAGGGGAACTTCTCTTGTGTGGGCAGCCACGTCTGGGGACAAGTGTGTGGCAGCACACTTTATTTTCATATGGGGAGATGAATAAACTCTGCCAGCATGTTCTGCTCTGAGCAAATGTATGAAACCAAAGGTAGCCAAGCTCATGCAAATGCATAAAAGTGTAATTGCTTCTATTCTGGGATTTTTTACTAGCATGATTTTTGGTTAAAAAAATACATAAAAGCTTTATTGGAATTACGCGCTTTTTTTTTTTTTTTTAAGAAGAATTCACTATGGAAATAATCTCTTGTAAGTTTTTGAGAGGTAGGATGTTCGTCATGGTCAAAAGCTTTTTGTTCTCTCCACTGGGACTTCAAAACCTCCATCCTTTTTAGCCCTTACCACATCCAATATTAAAACTTAGGAAGGCTGTGAATGCTGTTTAGAATGACTGCATAGACCAAAGAACCACAGCATCTCCCTGGGATAGTGGAGAATACTGTAGATGGTGTAGGCTTCCCACTTTTCCTGGGTTTAGAGTCCAGAAAATACCCAGTACTCATCTGCTGTGAGTTTTGGCAGGAGCTTGGTTCCCACAGGTCAAGGTGTGGCTCTGAAGGATGTGTGGATGTCTGAGGATGCCCTGCCCATAGTCATGCCTGTAGTCTCGCAGCTGATCTCTGGTGTTTCCTGAGGGTGCTTTTGGAAAGGGAAGAGCCTGAGGAATGCTGGATTTGTTCTGGTGTTTGGTGAGGTTGTTGAGCACCTCTTAGGGTTGCTCGGTGCTTGCAGCAGCTCTGCTGCAGCCTCCTGGAATAGCCAGTGCCTTCTCCAAGCTGCTCAGAGTTGAAAAAAACAGAGGCTTTTCCATTTGTGTTTTCATTATTTTCTGGTCTGTGATTTTGCATGAAAAGCAGTTACTGCAGTTATTGTAGATGTAATTAGCTTCACAGTTCCCTAATAACAGCTGAAAGTAGTAGAGCAGCTACCAGGAGCCCAGAACTCACCGTCACCTTTCTTCAGTCCTTTCTTGGAGGAAAGAGAGGCAGGCAGGAATCAGCTCTTTGTGTTCAGCTTGCACAAGCTCCAGTGGAGCTGCCTCTCAGAAAGCACTTCTCACATTCCACTGGACAACTTCTTCTAAAAGCAGTTTCTCGTGATGGGCACGTTGCAAATCAAAACCATCATTTCCATCATGAGTTCCAGGGGAGACCCCAGAAAGAGCTGTTGCAGAGCAGGGAAC